AGGTGGGGCTGAGGGGGCACCTCATGGGGCAGGCCCAGGTCCTTGCAGAAGCACACCTTGCTGCCTCGCCAGCCATAAACTCTCCAAGGCCTCTTAGAAAAGTGTTTTCATCACGTAGGTTTATTTTCTCACTGTTGTGCTTTGCCTTAATTTACACTTAGTTATGTTTTTGTAAACTGTGTAATTCTGCTCTGTAGGTCCCTTGGCTGTTTTCATCTTAAAATCCAAGGTGGATTTTTTTTTTCCCTCTTATTTTCTAGTTTCTTCCTATGTTCTTCTTGCATCAGGTGCAGAAAGCATATTAAAATGTATGCTTAGAAGGTGGAAAAACTGGCCCTAGAATTTGCGGGCATAGTAATGAAGGTACAGAATAGAGTTATAATATACATACATTTCTTTTTTCATATCGTTATAACCTGGAAATCCTTCTATTCTTTTTTTCCCCTCCTCTCAGTTAAAATATGGAATAGATCAAAATGATGTTTTCTGTTCAGGCCTTCCCTTGCGCAAAAATAAAACTACAATGTTCTGTAACATACCATAAGTCTCACAGTAGAGGTTGGGGAATAAGGATGAACCTTACCACGTACTTGATGTAAAAGTTCCATGATGTTTTTGTCTTCTCTATTTGCAGATAAAGATCTGCAGTTTCACATTGTTAAGCAGGCTAGAGCTCAAAGTGCAAAAGAAGGTACCAGCTACAGTGAAGGTAAGTAGCAAGCAGATACTGAGACAACTTTGTCAGCTCTCAGGTGGAGAGCTGCTTTTGCCTCCCCCCTCACAGCTTCCTTGATTCCACTTGCGAACTGCTATGAGGAATTTTTTAAATTTATTTTTAATATTCCTTCCCTTGTCTCTTTTGTCTATAACTACTTTCTCTACTCAGGACAACCAGATTAGAGAATTTGAGTCTGTTGTGCTCACACCTCTAGTTCTCTTCAGGACTGGAAAAGCAACACTGCAAAATTCAGGAGTTTCTTAAAGCACTAGTCCTTCACTTCCCATCCTGCTACCTACACTTTACTTTCTGCCTGCATTTTCTGGTATTATCTTCTGCTCTTCGTGGCCCAAATTCTTCTCTTGCTGCCTCCAGCCTTGTACTTCCTGTGATGGGGGGGGGAGGAAAAGGAGAACTGCTTTTTATTTTGTTTAAGGATTAATTGTTAGATATGAGCTATAATGTGCTTGTCCACCGCTCCTCAGCTCACAAACCAAACAATGCGTGTGTTATCATGATGATGCTGGATTGTTTCAGGACTCTCCTAAGAAGTTGTATAATAAATATGATGATATATCTGTAAATATGATGATGTCCTTTGCCACTGCTCTCAGCTCATTAGTTCCTTTATGTTTCATTTTTCATTGGGTTTTGTGACCATTCTGGGGAGTAGGTTACGTCTGAGCTGTGCTTCTTTTTGAGAGTAGAAAAGTAGGGCTACCTATACAAACCACTGCAGAGCTGCAGCATATGGTTTGGAAATTACTGCAACACCTGAAAGACAGCATTTACTGTCTCTAGTTTCTTAGTTGGGTAAACATGGATGTGCAGAAGGAAAAGTGCATTTGTTCTACTTTCCTGCCTTGACAGTCAAATACAGCAGCGGTTGCTCAGGCAACCATTTTCATGTTGTCTTTGTTTCTCTGGCATAGCAAATGGAGCCTTAACAGACAGCTGCTTGGGAAGGAGCTTTCATGTGACAGGCACTGTGTGTGGAGCATGTCGGGTGCCTTTTCTCTGGAGGGACATGGTAATTCATTAATTTGACACGAGCACATCCAAGTAGAGAAGAAAGAGATAAAGCTCTTATCAAAGTGGTAGCATTGCAAAGATACATCAGTGAGCCGCTAGATGCTAGCGTTTGCTATCCAGTTTTCACCGCAAGCTTGCATTTCTCTGAACACTGAAGGAGTGCGGGGTGGCTGTCATTGTGGCATCTTGGCCTGTTCTAAGATTTACTGACTTGGAATGGTTTGTTTAATTTGAAGTCTTTGGCAACAGAAACAAAAGGAAAGCATTTTTTGTTGTACATTTCTTTTTGACTAACTGTACCGAAGGAAGTAATTGTCTGTCTGTGTTTTTAAAAAAGTTCTGGCTTTTTTTTTTACTCTCTAATTAGAGTTTCAGAATACCTATGTAATAGGACAGGAAGGCTGGCCTTCATCACAGGCTGTGGAATTCTTGTAAAAAGACAAGCATGTAACTATTAGGGCACTTTTATGGGCTTCTGTGACCTTGCAAGAATGGTGCATTTTAAAAATACAAGTCTAGTGTTCATGTTTAAATATGTTAGTTCAGATTAGAAAAGTTCCTGTTTAGGTTCCAAGTACAGTAATGAGGAAAGCTTGTATTTTAGGTTTGTTGTTGTAAATCAGAGTTATTGTGGCTCCTTTTCCTCAGGGTACTTGGGGAAAGAAGGATATGAAAGATTGCCTGGCTTCTGTTAAGTACTGAATAATCTAGAGAAGCAGTAGCTTTGCTTTTGTGAGGGCTCTTGCATACACCCTGTCTTGCGTGTTGGCTCTTCTGTCTGCCCGGAGACATAAGTCTGCATGGGATTGTGCCTTGCAGGGAGAAAGTCGGGTTGTGGGGAGCGGGACTGTGGAGATCAGGTCAATGGCTACAGGGAATTTGAATGTTCTCAAGTGAAATGCTTGTCTGCCGGCGATACACTAGAATGCTGCATCCTGTATCTTTAGGGAGGACGCTTTGCTGCTGTTGCGATGGGTTGAGAATGGATTTATTGTTTGTTTGGAGGATGTGTGTTTTTAACTGGGGGATGGGAAGAGTGAGTACTGGGCTGATCATTCAGGGAGAGAAGAGCGTGCAGGGCAGTATGTTCATTTTCACAACTTTAAAGTTCTTTACCTGAACTAATGGGGAGCATCTTGAAGGTGCCTTTGTAGCTCTTTTAGAGAAAGTGACAGTTTGAGACAGATTTGCACAGTGCCCAGTTATCTAGTGTCTTAGAAGCTTTCATTCTTGTTGGCAGAACAATAGGTGTTTTGCAGCTAGTACTTCACAGAACATCTTAGGAGTGAGACAAACCCACAAGTCAGAGCTGCAGCTTTCTCTGTCTTGCTTTAGTTTGTAAGCCAATAGCTGAAATTGATGGGATAATACAGTGTCCTTCAGATCTAATCTTGTGTGATCCCTTCAAAGCATATGAAAATCTGTCACTAACAGTGTAAGCGGTCAAGAAAGGTCATACAAGCTGCGTGGGGCTGGGGAGGGATTTGGGCCTTTCTGAGCAATTTTTATTCTTTCAAATTAAGAAGGATGAAACTTCTCACAGATATGTGGGGGAAGGTTGAAAACAGCATGGGTGTCTACTGCGGTGCTTGTCTGTTTAGCTTCTCAGTGTTTTCCTGTATAATTATGCTGTTTTACTAATAACAGCTGTCTCTCCAACCTCCAGGATCTTACTCATTACTGCCTGTAGAAGTTCCTCAAAATCACAAGCGTTTCACCTGTGACCTGACTCAAGCTGATCGCCTTGCTCTTTATGATTACGTTGTTGAGGAAACAAAGAAACAGAGGTCTAGATCTCAAATCACAGAAAATGACAGTGACCTCTTTGTGGATTTAGCAGCAAAAATCACCCAAGGTTTGAAGAATGGTCTATTGTTGAATTTATTGCTCAAAACTTTCACTTTGTGTAGTTAGATGAGTTTTGTTGAAAGCCAAACAGAATTTCTTGTGCTATTTCTATTGTGAAAAGCATACTGTTCTTAAAAGCCATGATGAAGACCTGGCATCAGAAAACAACAGTTCAGTAGCCTTAATGTTGTTTTCCGTCTGAGAAAGCCCCAGTGCTCTGCTCTTGGCACACATATTGTGTGTGTCTTAGTGGGTGGATCTTTTGTCTTTGCTGCAGCTGACTTCAGGTTGCTTAAAGTTGCCAGCTTACCACACAGCTTTGGACAGTATTTCTTGTAAGAGATGATGAGATTAAAGATCACTTAAGAGTAAAAGCCTAACAAGAACTGTTGGCAGTTGTCCAATGGAGCTCTTGAGCAATATATAAATGGGTGTATTGGATCGAGGCCTCTTGTCCCTATTGAGTCATGCCCGTTTGTAACTATACCAAGTGCAACATGAGCATCTGTGTTATCCTGTGGGCCCTGCTATGCCTAAGGAGGTAGGAGGTAGCGTTTGTCATCTACACAGGTAAATGTTTTACAGAATCTGGCTTTCTCAATCTGTGTGTCTTACTGTAATACTGGCTTTGAAAACATGGCCCCATATTTTGTAGGCATTTCAACAAATCCTAAGCCCATGTATTGATTTGGATCACTGTCAGGAGACTGAGATGGCATAACAGCATTTGCTTTGGTGGCTTTTTAGTCTTGTTTAAACAGCTAGCAAGAAGGTTGGAGAGGAAGCTTGTGCTAAATTCATAATAGTTACTAAACACTGGAGAAAGTTCAGAAAGAACACAATGTATTTTATGTTTTGGACTCTTTATTACTAAAGCACCAGACCTGCATACCTACAGGGGCTAGTGTCCTGCTAGTGACCATTTGTTTTACTTCCCATTTTTTGCCAGATGATAGTCAGAAAGGTCCGAAGTCCCATCTTGAAATTCTGGCTGAAATGCGAGACTACAAAAGGCGGCGGCAGTCATACAGGGCTAAGAATGTTCATATAACAAAGAAGTCTTACACTGAGGCGAGTATCTGAAAAGATATTTTTGCACAAAAATGCTTATTGTGTATCAGCATAAACAATGATACACAGTTTCAGACAAAGAAACCCTCTCCCTTTCGGCTTCTTGTACCCTGCCGTATTAGTGTTGCAAACTGTAGAGGAATCTGTCTTTGGTTTGTTGCAGCAAGTTACAAGTAACGGGAGCATTTCTGACTTAAATTTTGAATGTGAAAATGACAGCTAGATATAGTTGACTGTCTGTTGTAAAATGGTGCTATTTAAATTTGTAATGAAATGCCTGTTTCTGCAAATAAGATTTTCCATTCAAACATCTGAAGTATAGGGGTTGGGGGCTGGGGGGATGGGTTGAGAATGTTTACCTTCTACCTTACCTTCTACCTTCTGAACTAGTTGCTAGTTCAGGCCACTACCATGATGTGCTGCCTTTCTTGTTTGTCTTTAATATATCTTAATCTCCAGGTGATCCGGGATGTGATTGGTGTACATATGGAAGAACTCAGCAATCACTGGCAAGAGGAGAATAGGCTGGATAATGCAGAGATATGTGACGGAGGGAAGTCGAAATCTTCAGGAAGGTATGTCACAGTTGACAAATTCCTTGGGCTTGTGAGCAGGCTGATAGCCTGTAATTGTATCTTATCACCTCCTTCTAATAGCACATACAAACCTTGGCTGAGCCATATGCCCAGTTTGTTTTATACTAATTCTATTAAGCTCTTGCTTGAGAAGCTCTGCCTGCATGAAGGATGGGGAAGAATTACTCGCTTTCTTTACGGGGTGAGGGGAGATAAGTTGCAAGTGATCCAAGTGAACAGGTTGTTTCTGGTGGAGCTGGGGAATGAATATGGCTCCCCTGGGTCCAAATGCATATATATGTGATAGCTGAGGACAGAAGGACAGTTGAAAATACAAGTACACAATTCCGCCCCCCCTGCTTCCCTACCACATGACAGGAAGTGCTATGGACTTAGTTATGAAAATATTCATATTTTCATAACTAAGTATGGGCACCCTTTACAGTTCTTGTCACTGTGAATGCTGCTGTGCTATCTGGATGTGTGTTTTATGCATATATGTTTCTTCCTGTGTCAAGCAACACTGCACATTCTTCCAAACAGTTGTCACTGAAATAAAAATGATATCATTACCTACTGATAGTCTGTGCTTCTTCGTGAGTTCTTTGAGATGAAAATGTTGAAACAGACTAAAAGGTGGCACTAGAGGTGTTTGTTTTCAGCATTAAAATAAAGGGGAATGAAAAGGCCAAACAGGAGATCAGACTTGCTGGGTTCTCCAACCATAGATAGTGGCTGAAAGCAGGTCATTGAAGAGTGAGGGACTGAAAGCAGAACAGAGGCTGATAAGACTGAGGGGCAGTGTTTGTAGGAAATGACTGGATTAAATAGTGTGCTGAGATGTGCACTTATTTCTAGGGCGTAGACTTTGGGCGTCTTTTGGGAGGTATTGTATTTCTTGGGGAGATAGAGGGGCTTAATAAAAGATATATCCTCTGACTTATACTGTTAGTAGGTCATTATATTACAGAGCTGGTACTGAAGACAATAGTGACTGTGAAACTATTTGTATTGAATAAAACCAATAACCTTTTTTTCCAGAAAGGAAGAGAGGCGGTCAGCTTCAGTGGACTCACGGCAGTCTGGAGGAAGCTGTAAGGATACTGAACGCACCAGACATAGGAGAGAGAGCAGCAGGAGTCCAAATAAACGAAAAAGGAGTCGCGAAAGAGGCAAAGACAGAGATTCTTGGAGAAAAAGAGAGAGGTGAGTATAAATACTGTCAGCTGACGCCAGCTTCTGGATCAGGCAGCCGTAGCCCACTCTCCATGAGAATTTAGCACGGAGAATTAGAATAATAAGTAGGATTATCTGATTCAGTCATATGTATATACGTAGAATCACTTGACTAGGTTTTCTGTGGTAGATAGTTCAAAACAACGCTGTCGCTCTTTGGTAGTTCTGGCCACATCTTTAGGCAAAAGAAAACAAATCTAGGCCACACCTTCTAATTCCATCAACAAGGGCACGTTTGTACCTGCAAGACCACAGGTGTGTGGGACCAGTGTTTCAGCAAAGGCGTAGGCTGCTGTGCAGAAGAAATGCTGCATTGTCCCTCAAATATAGGGAAGAAATGCTGTAGATAACTGCATGGATGGGAATGATTGCTTGTCTGAAAACTGGCTTCATTACACAGTGATGCAATTCATCCTAAACTAATTGCCACTATGGCATTACGTGACAAGATTTTGATTAAAACAGTGTGAGAAGTAAACTGTCTTAAAGTAGTTTATTTTCTTTCCTTAGAATACATGATTACATTTAATGAGAGCACTCCCATTTTCTGAGTTTGGTTTGCTTTTTTTTTTTCCTTGAGATTCTGTCAGTCTGAGCCTAACAGCACATACATAATGTTTGTGGTTTTGTTTCAGGGATGAAGACAAATATCACAGCCATAAAAGACGAAAATAGAAACAAGAACTTGATTATTTTGTTTGTCAGCTGTTCAGAAATTACTTGCACAGGAACTATCGTTACTGTGGCTGTGCCAAGGACAGTGAGACTGTGTACGTAATACTGGTGTTGCATCACAGCTGTGCTTGGAGACAAAAATGAAATAGTGTCAAGGTTTGTCAGGTTGGAAGTGGTATATATCAGAAAATGTATAAATGTGTAATACTAATGCATCTATTAATAAATTATACTGATCTCCTCTATTTGAGTTTAGTCTGGCAAAGATGAAGAATGAAATCTGTGAGACTATACTAATTTGCCTTTCTAGCTCATAATTAGTATCCAAAAGTAGATATAGAACAGAGCTAATCCCTGGACTCTAGGATCAATTACAAATGGACGAGGCATGAAAAAAGCTTCCTTCCTACCCTCCCCCTGACATCATCACCCCTGGGAGCAGTATTCCAGAAAAACAGCACTTACTGCCTCATTACAGCAGGTACCAGAGGTGGGAGGGCAGATTTCAGAGTGTTCCAGTAGGCTAAAATTATCTTCAACTGCAGCTAGCGGTAAAAGGACAACAGTGGGAAAGTTACTGTTCCCAAGCTTATGCTCAAAGAAATTTAGGACCAATGTCATCTGGCAAAGGTGATGAGAGTAATAGCGCTCCACAGAAACTAGCAGAGGTACCAGGGACAGTTGTAATATTACCAACTGCCATTTTCAAACACCAGGTGTATACCCATTTCCTTCCAGAAATAACTAGGAGGAGTTCCATCCTGTAGGCTAACATATCAACCTCTATCACTAGTATTTACAAAAGAGTAAGAATTAAGACAGGCTGCTACATATTAAAGGTGTGCAGGAGCTTTCCACTTAAATTCAGTGAGATTTTTGTTATATCAACTTCTAGTCCTGTTAATTCCTCTCACAAACTGCTACAGCAAGGTGAATCATCATCATCCAAGCTTGTTACTTCAACAAAGTAAGCAAATATAAAAGAACAAGGTTGCAGATCCATCTTTTGTACAATGCTTTCTTCTGTTTGATCGAGTTGTCAGGAGAGGGCACTCCATATGCTCCTGGTTTTGGCCTTCTCTGTCAATGCAATCTCCAGTTTTACTATAGCTGCTAGTATGCCGTCTCTAAACCTCAGTCATTTCTGCAACTATGTGTGATTATCTGTCCCTAAATACTTAGTCTAGTTCTGATTGATGTAGACTTCTGTACCTCCTTCAGCTGTTCAATTCAAAACCAAACTGAACTATGTGTCAGGTATTTCCTCATCTACATGACAAATGCAGTAGCTTTTCTGTTCAGAAAACAAGATGTATTTTAAAACATCCTTAATTAGAAAAGTCTATCTAAGAATGGAAAAGGATATCTGCGTTCTGAAAGGGTCCTAATTAGAGACAAAGCAATAGGGAATCAGTGCCATCCTTTCTAAAGCTGATGTTTCCAGCAGCTCAGCCACAGCGTGCTTCGTGTTGAACACGCCTTGGTAAAACTATTTGTTTAATAGACAAGGCAGTCAGAAGACAAGCTATGTTTGTGTAAGAGTGAGAAAAAAAGTCAGTGCTATCCAGAAATGCACTGGATTTTCTTATACACACTTACGAAGTATGGGTAGGAAGATCCATAATAAAGTGAGTTTTACTCAATATAAACAGTGAGTAAGGTATTGCTCCCTAGGCGTGAGCACTAGTATATGAGAGGCAAGAGAATAGTATAGCCATGTACTCAATTAACATCCACCGAAGGGCCATTTCAAGAATGGGATAAAGAAAAGGAAGAGCTAGCAGAGAGGATCATCTTGTATTGTAATGTGCAAGTAACAGTCCTTTGAACACAAATTATTTTCTTGCACATACTCCCTTTTTTTTTCTTTCCTCTCACCTGGTGCTGAAGAGTAGGCTTGATCAAAACAACGTTGAGGGCTGGGTCAGAAAGTTTCTGAGCAGTACCATGCCAGTTTGTTGGTCACTGGAAAGGAATAAACCAAATGTTTTAGAATAACTCTTAAAACATGGTAAATCCTCATGTGTTGGACAAGATACGATTGAGGGTTATATTAATGGCAAGCAAGAGCAGTGTGATTAAAAAGTGGTTCTTTCTTACTAAAAGTTGTCAATCTGGTAACTGTAGTGACAAAACAAATGAGTTCATGTGTGTGCTTGTGCATTTTTGAGCTCCCATGTACGTGGAACTAGTAGCAATCCAAGAAAGACCAATTCCAGATTGACGGTAGAAGAGTCAGTATGTCTGCAAACATGCCTCGTAGGCAGCACTTGGAGGACAGGCCTGTCCTGGATCTTTTAAAATTTGTTAAAGTGCATTTTGTGTGACCTATGTGTGACTATGGATAAAAGGAGTGGCAGTTTATCACCGAGAGCTGGATTGAAGATGCTGTCATTTTGATACATTCCTTGTATCTTGATGGATCCTTTCCTCCATCTGCTAAAAACTTACGAGGTTTTGACATCATTGAATTTTGTGGGCACAAGAATTCACAAAACTGATGCAAGTCTATTAGAGCATACAGGTGAGATTTTCACCTGTAGCAGTTAGCATGAGTTAGGCCCAGTTAGCAGAGGTGTTAGCACAAGCCCATGAATTTTAAGTTTTTGCTGTTGTGGAAGCTGACAAAAATATGATCAAACATCTGTCTATAGCAACAGAATAGTGTTGGTGTGCTCAAGAAAAAAGGTGGCCAAATTATGTGAATAGCCTATTGATTGTGAAGTGCAGCTGTCCAGAAGTATTCAGAACAAACAAGCTGTGAGCAGCAACGATGGTGACAGCGCATCAGAAAATGGCAGCGCACTTCGAATGGACCGATGATCAACAGGGTATTCTCTATCCAATCCTATAAGGACACCTAGTAATACTGGGGGGAAACCATCATTTACCTACAAACTACTCGATGATGTCAAGAGGTGAGAATGGAGTTGCCTCTTCATTATGAAGCAAGCCAAAGACTACACACAACAGCACAGGAAAGACCTGAACACAGCTGTCATCGGTAGCAAAATGGATAGCCACGTGGTGAGT